TTTATTGAAAAATGACTGAATTCAATTACAATGCATAAGCTAAATGCAAGGGCTGTGTTATGGGTATTATTCAGTGCCTAATAATTCATGATGAAAATTAAAGCTCTGGAAAGCTCATGAAGTAGTCCTAGAACTAAAAAAAGGTGGTGAGGCCCAGTGTGTTTGCTTAAATTCAATTTATTCCACAAACATTTATTGAGCAGGTGAACAAGGTAGTAAGGAGACTGCAAGTTGATGAAATTTTTATTATAACCTGGAGATACGTGTATATTGTATCCACTTACCCACTGACTAACTAAGTTTGTTGCCAGCAGCTTGTGCTAAGAGTATTTGTGCTTGGGTAGAAATTCATAGTTTTGATTGTCCTCTTTGCAGAAATGAGAAAAAGGTTAGGTAGGTGACAAAGGTGAACATAACTAACTCAGTGCTCTATTTTTTCAGACAGAATGCATTATTTAGCCTTACAGAAATGGATATTGAAAAATTTAATTCAGCACCAGGTTGAAAAAAACAGTATTTTTCAACCATGTAAATCAGATCACATCACTCTCCTGCTCGATATGTTTTAACTGCATCCCATCTCATTCAGAAAAAGATGCAAATCTCTCACCACGGTCTACAAGACCCCACGCGACCAGGCCTGCCCACCTCTTTCCAGCCTCATCTTCTACCACTACCTCCTTTGTTCATTCCACCTCCAACACACTGGCTTTCTTGCTCTTCCTAGAACATACCAAGCTCATTTGGGCTTAAGGACCTTTGCAAGAGCTATTCCGTCCTTTTGACACTCACTTCTCCCAGATTTTTGCATGGTTTACTCCCTTACTTCATTCAAGTCTTTGCTCAAAAGACATCTTTTCAAAGAGGCCTTTCACAGCCACCCTATTTAAAATCAGAGCGCCCGCCTCCCTCTGCTCCTTTGCCCTGCTTTATTTTCCTGCACAGGCATACCTTTGAGGTACTGCGGACTGGGTTCCAGACCACCGCAACAAAGCGAGTATCATAATTAAGTGAGTCGTAATCTTTTTGCAGGTAGAGGGTCTTGCCTTCAATTTGTAAAAAACGCAACATCTGTGAAGCACAATAAAGTGAAGCGCAATGAAACGAGACATGCCTGTGTGGTCCTTAACACCACCTCTTACTATTTATATAGTATCATCAGTCCACTAAAAAGGGGGTTTGTAAGTCTTTTCAATATTTTAAAAAGTAATTTGCAATATTAACAACATCAGGGCAGTGCCTGACACACAGTAACCTCTCCCAATAAATACATGTTAAACAAACCTATCTATTTCATTCTCCAGTCATTCAAGTCATATGACCTTGGGTAACTCACAGAGCTAATACTCAAGCACTGACCCTTAAGTGAAAACAATAAAGTCTTATCCAGCCTTGCCACCAAGATCTAGTTCGTTCTGAGGCAAAGAACTATGCTTCCTATGGTTTTAACTGGACAACTCTAGCTACTCCAGACAAAGCCTGCAGCAACCTGAACTTAGAAATCAAGGGGCAGGAAACAGTCTAAGCAGAAAGTTCATACGAGGACCACACCTAAACGCCACAATCCTGATTTTAAAGACCAACCTCTCAAAACTGATATTTACCAACCCCAAAAGTTATGATTCCTTTGGGTTCTTAACCCTTTTAGTGCTACGGATCCTTTGCCAGTCTGGTGAAAACTACGGACCTCATTTGAGAACAATCTTTTAAATGCATAAAACAAAATACTGCTACAAAAGCATCCAATTCTACTGAAATACTGGACCGCAGACTTCAAGTCTCCTATGCTCTTCCTGCCAAAGTGAAAGTAAGACGAGAAAAATGTGAAGGCTATATAGGAGGCTCAAGAATTCCAAGGAAACGACACTCCAAGGTCCATCCCTGAGCACCCTATGCGGCAGCAGGGAGATCCTGGGCGCCGGCACCCAGCCAACTTTAGGGGGCATGTTTGAGAAGAAGGAGCGGAAAGAAGAGGGCCCGGGTCTGGAAGAAGGGTGGGAGTTTTTCTTCCCTGAGCGCGCGGGGCCGAGTTCCCCACGGCTCGGCCCGCCCCCGCCGCACCTGTCCCTGCAGTCCCCAGGAGCCGCTCCGGCACCCCTCGTAGGTATTCATGGAGGCCGCGGAAGATCTCATGTAGTTTCTCGAAATGCTCGGAGGAAGCGGCGGAGGTAGCCATGGCGCAGGTCGCGCTCTAGCAGCGGCCGCCGAGGTTCTGGGCCCGGGGCCCGCTCCAACCCCGGCGGTCAGCCACCCAACCCCGCAGGCATCACAGCGACCACCGCCACCGCCGCCCTGGACGAGGCGCTTCCGGGGCTGCGGCGGGGTCCTCCAGAGCCGGAGTGCCCACCCCCTTCATGTCGTCACTGAGGGAGCTCCGGGCGCGAAAGCCTGATGGAAAATCGACAGGGCTGCGTTGCCGGGGCGACTCCTATGGGACCGGCGGCGCGCCGCAGTGAGCGGCAGTCCCAGAGTCCCGGAATTACCAACTCCATGGCTGGGGAGTGCGCCACAGAGGAAAGGACTGTGGGGAGCCGCGGCACCGGCAGCGCGGCCACCTCTCTCTAGGGCCCCGCCTTCTGGCGTCGGGCTGACGCTACAGTGCATGCCGGGGGCTGTAGTTCGGCGGGGAAAGCGCTCCGACTCACAGGTCAAGCCTTGCGGGGGTCGGTGGTTCCGCCAGCGCCGTTGCAGCCTAGGGTGAAGCTGACAGGCAGTGGTTTGGTATCAGTATGCGCCCGGACGTCATCTTCACTGTCATCGCACTGCTTGGCCACCCTGACTTCCTTAGTTCACGACCTGTTAGCTTTCAGCCTCGAAAGGTAGCGGGACCCGGACCCTGCTTGTCCTCGAGCGGTAAAGCACTTTTCCTGGAGAGGTCAAGTGACCAAGGGTCACATTATTTTAGAAGTCGTATCCCGGCAGTGTGATCCCCAATATACACACTCAGCCTCTAGCAGCCGCCCTGGCCTTAGTGCAGTCCTTCACTCAGCAGGTGTTTAATGTTAAGCGTAGTCAGTGTGCAGGGGTCTGGCATAAGTTGGTAAATAAAAGATTCACTCTTTGCGCTTGAGTAGTTTATAATGTGGTGAGCAAGGCGGACCCGGCTTCAGGTCTCCTTCCCACTAAGTGTAATGTGTTAGCAATGTCCTTTCCTGCACTCCATGGTTTTCATGATTCCTATTTTTACTGATTTCATGGTTTGCCGCCTAAGGACCCCGCTCTGAAGTGTTTGCTGTGGCAGCCCAATATCTTAAAACTGCCCACACAGGCTAAAAGATATGTTGACTGTTCAGGAGGAAACGATTTGGTGATTTATATTCCCTGGACCCTTATTTTTATTAGATTGGGTTCACTGACCATTGATTGATTCAACAAATTTTTGTTGAGCTCCTTATATCCATTAAGCATAGATAGCAAAGTCTGAGAGTGTTAGTGGCAATGTACTGTGAAGTCCCATAACAGTTATAATAGATACAAAAAGGAGAGATAAATATCCTGGGATTGAAAAAATGATCTTTGAACAGCATCATAAAAGTAGAAAATGGGTGAATGAATAACCAAATTATCACACAACTGAAGTTAATGGCATTTCAGTTGAGACTATAGGACAAATTATCCTCAGAATGAGAAATGATTGCATAACCATAATAATGAAGTGTTTTCTCTTGACTATAATTAAACTTTCATTTAATTGTTTCTGTTGACTCTAAACTTTCCTTTAATTCTTAGTTTTTATTCTGGTAAATAAAAACATGATAAGGAATCAAAATTTTTTATTTGTCATTGACAGGTCAATATAAATTAAAATATTAATTCGGTTATTGTACTGTACTATTATCAAAAGTTTTCCAATTTTTCCATAAAATGACTTTCTGAATATATAGTTTAATGATCAAAACAAGTTCAACAAAAGATTATTAATTTACAAATATAAAAGAGTGTGGTCCTATATAACTCTTTTCCCCACCAAGTAAATATATAATTATCAGTCCGAGAAAATCACAATCTATTAGAATAACATACTCTAAACAAGTGATGGAAACACTACCATTCCTCAGACTTCCTTTGGGAGCATTACTTTTTTTTTTTAGCTGAGCCATCCTGCCACCTGTTGGCAGCTCAGGGGCTGCTCAGCTCGGGGTGGGACTCGAACCGCTGTTGCTCAGAGCTCAAACTCTTGAGCAAGCTCTTAACCAACTGAGCCACTCGGCCAGCCCTGGGAGCATTACTTTTGATAAAAGCTCTCGAAATAAAATGTTTTTTTTTTGTTTTTTTTTTTTAGTAAATAGACATTTTAATCTTGTCAAGATAAGGAAATGTCTTGAAAGATTATTAAATTGACTGTTTACTACCAATCAATCCTTAAGATAATTTTGCTGAATAAAGAATTGAGGTATTTTTGTTTGTTTTGGGGTTTTTTCCTACCATATTAGTTAACTGGTGCTTGTTAAGATAGTGCCTTAGCAGTCTTGGTAAGTCAGCTGCTCTGCTCACCCTTAATTCTTCCATAGCTGGATATTACCATCTTTAGTTGTTTTTTTATTAGTTTGGTTTTTTTAAATCCTTAACTAGTCCCTTCATAGCATGCATTATCTTCCAAAGGCTTATTCTCTTTTCTGAACTTCTCTTCTGCTTCTTAGTGGGTAGTTAACATATAGAGAGTTGGCTACTCCTGCAGCTCTACCCATTTGTATCAGAGACTGGATGACACTGGTTTGCTCCAACTCTGATCATTTACCTGCACCAGGGTCCAGTTTAAGACTGTTCCTTTGTGGCTATTTTGAATTTTGTGAAAATACTCCCAATTGCATAAATGCACAGAAATACATATACTCAGTAACAATCACCAAATAGCCTTTTCCCTTTTTCTGGTTTAAGAGACTCTCAGGCAAAAAAAGGAGGCCTCCATAGGTCTGGGGTCAGTAACTTGGTCAGGAAGCCTGCTTTCTCAAACTGATCCTTTCATTACCCCCTTGCTGGTCGGAGAAATAGCAGGAAAATGATGGTTTAAATTTGATTTTTATTTCTCCCTTCCCCCAAATTTCTGCCATCCTACAAACTCCACAAACTGCTTAGAAAAGGCATGGGAAAATGTCTTAGCAGTGGCTTTAGGTTGAGAAAGCTGTGCCACAGTCCAGAATCAGTTAAATTTCCTGAAAGAATCCAGATGTTGGCGCCATGATGGTTTTCTTAGTGGTGAGGGACAAGCCCTACTCTTGAGCCAAGCCACTGTAACTCCTGGAGTTCAGCTGTGGCTGTGTCGTGGCCCTCTTCAAGTGAAGGTTGGTTGGTTGAAAGGAACTTCAATGTGAACAAAAAGGGCAGAAACTAGTCCAGACTGCCTCAAATCAACCCTGCTATAGCTTCGGTTCTCCTAGGTAGTAGGTTTCAGAAGGAAAATACGAGTTTGCAGGTCATATGAAGGTCTGCTTATCCTATGATATCTCTAGTAACTCTGGCAATAACAGGACCAAAGTGTATCTGGACTTTGTGCAAGGTGTTTCAATGAATCTGGCAGTGCACCCTGGCTTTTACTGGACATCAAGCTGGTAAGGCTGGAAGGTTGTTCTCTTTGTGCTCAAGATTTTGTCCATCCTGAAGGAGAATCATTTTGGCGGGGAGTACTGAGTCGTCCAAATGCCACCACCTGTCAATCCACAGGGATGCCAAGCAGGTCACAGCTGACATCCCATAGCCGCCTTGCTATCGTCTCATTACGAGCTTGGGCAGAGACCCATGTCACATGGCAGTCACTGGAAGAGAAAAAGAGGGGTTTAAAGAACAGGGCTAAGAGTGGAGTCCATTCTCCACCTGGGGTAAGGAATATGACAGAAAAACAACCTAGGGATAACATGTTCTCTAGGCTCTTCACAAATCCAGTGTTTATCTCTTCATTCTCCAATCTTTACCCCAGAGAAAATGTAATTACATTTGAGATCTCACTAGACAATCTCTGATCAGAATGCTTTGTTTGATATAAATACGTATCATTTAGTCTTCATATTCCCCTTTGTATGTATATATTTAACTATAATATCAGTGCCTGCCTGATAGCTGTATATGTCCATCTTGTTCAAATAAATCTCAGGTCCATTCTTCAGGCCTTATACAGTGCCATGGAACTGAGATCCTGCTATTTACATTGGTCACATATGTTTGGAGTGGAAAACCCAAAAACAAAACACTTATTTCTGGTCTTCCTGCAGTTATAATTGTCCTTAAACTCGAAAAACAAAATCTGCTTCATAAATAACGAAAGAAGGAAAAGATGCTAGCAGAAATGAAATGGTATGCCTTCTGTTCACTGCTATAATTCTAATTGTTTTAGGTCCCTATTAAATGCAGAGGGGGATCTCAACTCTGCACTGCCCAGAAAATTTTCTCAAGATAATCCTTTTACTCATTTTTGTATTTTCTGTATCTAGTACATAGCAGGTATTCAATGAATGGTTTAAATGATTGAGTAAACAGATCAAAATCTTTGAAATCATGTGAAAAGTACTTTTAAAAATTATACTCTTTCAAGAAAACTGCTCCCTGGACATTCGAAGCAAATTCTGAAGGTGAAAAGGAGAGTTGATGAGTCTGAAATAACCACATGAGGCAAACTCCTAACACTATGTCCACTCAGACAGTGCCACTCAAAGTGTGGGCTGTGGGCTAGCAGCAGGAGCATTATCTGCGAACTTGTTAGAAATGCCAGTTCCTGGGCCCCACTCCAGATCTACTGAATCAGAATCTTTGGGGTTGAGGTCCAGGAATCTGTTTACAACCAGTTCTCCAGATGGTTAAGTGTAAGAAAATTTGAGAAATACCACTTAAAAAAACCTTTGCATTTCATAACCAAGCCATATATCTATATCTATTATCTATATCTATCGATCGATCTATCTATTAATATAGGGGGTGAAGGGATGGCAGGCAGGGGCCGGGGGAAGGAGATCCAGTGCTACTTCCCTAGACAGCAGAGGGTGAGAAACAAAACAGACTGAAGATCGTTGGCGCTTACCCAGGTCCAAAGAGAGCACTGAAGAGCCAGGCTTAGAGCAGTCAGAGGGCCCTGTCCCGCTGACTGGCTGCTATATTCTAAGCCTGGCTCTTCAGTCTACCCCCTGAACTTAGGAGTACCCCCTATTTTAATAAATTCCCTTCTTGCTTACATTAGCCAGAGTCCATTTCTGCTGCTTTGGGATCAAAGAACCCTAAGTTATACACATTATTTTGCCATGTCTGCTGTCTCTGTTAATGTCACCATCAATCTCCTAATAACTCAGGCTTGAACCCAGATCACCAAACCTGCCCTATCCCCTCACTCAATTGCTCATCAAGTGGTAAGAATTCTGCCTTTTCAGGTCCTCTCCCACTTAACCATTCTTTTCACTTTAATCGTCATTACCCTAAATCAGGCACTTATTACCTCTCACTTGGGATTCATTAAACGAAATCACCAGGGATGTTTTTCTAAAGCACAGACCAAATTATATCTCCCTCTAATGGAACAATTTCTGTGGCTCCTCTCTAAGTCTGACATTATAGCCTTTCATGATGACTGTCTACCTTTCCTTCAAATCTTAATTTATTTATAGCCTTTCCTCTATAATTTTGGGTTAGTTCCACAACATCTTGAAGGCAGGTTTAAAACATGTTAAGACTGTGATCTTATGTGTTATCTGGGATTTTCTTCAAAATAGTATGGGATGAGAAAAACATGGGACGGGTTAGTAAATGGGAATGGGGCAGGACCGGCCATGGGTTAATGGTTGTTGAGGGAGGATTATGGGTATGTGGGGATTCAACATACTGTTCTGTCTACTGTGCGTATTCAAAATTCTCTACAATAAAGTTTTAAAAGTCTTCATTTATTCAAGAGGGAGTCTACTGATACTATTTTCATCCTGAATACCATAGAGAAATACAGATTCAAATTCTTTTTAATGGAAAAAAATAGAACTAGGAGTCCAAAAGGGAACAACAACAACAACAAAACTGGACTGACATAACAAAATGTAGGAAGAAAAGAAACAACCAGAAAGCATAATCATCAGTATAAAAGATGGCACGAATAAAACCAAACCTAGCAGTTACCACATAAAAATGTGAATGCGTCCAATTTCCCTATTAAAAGGTACAAACCCTGGATACAAAAGCTTTGTTAAAGAATGTACTTTTAAGGGCCGGCTGAGTGGCTCAGTTGGTTAAGAGCTCGCTCAAGAGTTTGAGCTCTGAGCAACAGCGGTTCGAGTCAGCCCGAGCTGAGCAGCCATGAGCTGCCAACAGGTGGCAGGATGGCTCAGCTAAAAAAAAAAAAAAAAAAAAAAAGAATGTACTTTTAAAATTCTATCTTGAAAAACAGATACATTCATACCTGAAGTGATTCCCACTTAGACTCTCAAGCCCTTCTGTTAAGGCACAGTACAGGCTGGTCTGGGCTCCCTGCTGAGGGGTCTTGATGAAGAAGGAGAAAAGCCGCCACATCCATCTCATGAAACAGGAGTGCCGCACCAATTCGGATTTGACTGTGCCGGGGTGTACAGAATATGTCGTAACGCCAGAGCCTGATGAGGGAGCCATACAGAGAGGGGAAGACGGGATGTGATGTTGTTAAATGGCCAAAGAGAGCAGAGGACATAAATAAAAACTGCCCAGTTTCAAATCCCAGCTCTACCACCCATTGGTTGTGTGACCTTGGGCAAGCTCCTGATGTTGACTCAGTTTCCTCATTTGTACAACAGGGATGACCACAATACCTGCACATCACAGGATTGTTCTAAGGATTAAAAGAGTTCATATGTAAAAGAGCTTAGAATAGTGTCTGGTGCATGGCAAGTGTTAAATAGCACCTACACATGTGCTATTTCAGGTCCCCAATTCTTCGCTGGAAACCCTGGGGCCAGGAATGTTTTCAGATTTTTTTCTGATTCTCTCTCTGTATATATATATATATATATATATATATATATATATATATATACACACACACTGTCTATTACCTACTCTCCCTAGTACCGGTGAGATTTCGCTGCCCAGTGAGTTTTGCTGTTAAGATTATGAAAAAACTGAATTGTCAGGCTTTCGCGGATTTCACAAATTGCAGATAAAGGACTGTAGACCTGTACTATTTTTAACTCAATGTCTACTCTAGATGACCCATATTCTATATTCTAACCATGACGGCCTTCTCTCAGTTTCTCAAACTAAGCCCAGACCTTCATGTATTCTCTTCCTTCTACCTGGAATGTCTCTCAGCCATCTCACCCCACCCACATTGTAACCCATTTAACTTCTAATCATTCTCTAAGGCAGCGGGTCCTCAACCTTCCTAATGCCGCGGCCCCTTAATAGAGTCCCTCATGTTGTGGTGACTCCCAACCATAAAATTATTTTTGTTGCTACTCTATAACTGTAGTTTTGCTACTGTTGTGAATCGTAATGTAAATATCTTTTTGTTTTCCGATGGTCTTAGGCGACCCCTGTGAAAGGGTCGTTTGACCCCCAAAGGGGTAGCGACCCACAGGTTGAGAACCGCTGCTAAGGGCTCAGCTTGCAACCCACTTCCCCAGAGAAGTCTTCCCTGACCCCTCAGACTGAATAAGGTCCCTTCCAAATCCATTAAAGGTCCTTGTACTTCCCCTTTATAGCATTCACCACAATTATAATGAAACAACAAAAAGGAAACAATCTAGATGTTGTTAAGGAAATGGATAAACCAAGGCACATCTATATATACTATGAAATGCAATGTAACCAACAAAAGGAATGGGGTAAATCTCTACGTACTACATGGAAAGATCTCCAAGATACTGTGATGGAATTTCAGTTCCTTATGTATGAGATATACATATGTAAATGCCCAAGAAGATGATTGGAAAGGTGCACATCAAATTGTTGACAGTAGATTCTTGAGAGGGGAAAAGTATGAGGGGGAAAGAGGGGAATAAGTGAAGGGCGTTTTCACCTTTATACGTCCATATTATTTGAACTTTTTACAATGAAAATGCTTCATTACTAGACTGATTTTACATGAAACAGTTATATAAATACTTGATAATTATCTCCCCCCCCCCCACTGGATGTAAACCAAATCAAGGAAGGGACTGAACCTGTCCTGTGCACCAGTCCATCCCCAAGCCCCTGATCCAGTGCATAGGCTAGCACAGGCACTGCACACATGACTATTGAATGGTTGAATGGATCACTCTTCTGTCATGCCCAGATTTCTTTCATTGCACCACAGCAATTGCCCACCTAATCCTCACATCTATCAGGCTTCCTCACTCATGTATCGTCTGTTTTATTCTGATCCTCACAGCTGGGCCCATTTTTCCACCTCCAGGCCACTCTAGCTCACTAACCAAATCTTTGGGTAGTTTTCGCCATCCTGATCTGGATTCATCCTGAGCTGATAAATGTCATGCTCTGGGCATGGAGAGGGCATATGAACTGAGCTGACCCCCACCTTCCCTCCTTCCCAATCTCACACCTATCCACTTGGTTTGACGATCCTGTTCCAACAATGGGGCTCCTGTGTCTGATTCCTTGAGCTTGAATTCTACCTGCCTCAACCCTTAAGCAACTCCAATTGTCCACCCTGGATTTCCTTTGTCTTTACGGAAATCCAGAGTAGATGATGTAAAGGAACTCTATCTGTTGTGACTGGAGGTCCCTCTCCTCAAGCATATATTTCCCTCTTATTTGACCCTTGGCTGTTAGGGAGGACCCTCTCCCACCCCATAGTCCCAGCACTTGTTTTATCTTAATGGTTATATCTAGTGTCAGTTTAGGTCCCTCCCTTCTACTTAGTCTCACTATGAGTAAAAAACCTTGACTTGCTCATGAGGCCTGATGTAATTATGACGATAACCTGTGAAATAGTTCCATTTTACATATGAGGAAATGAGTCTTGAAAAGTTAAGTAACTTCCTGCAGGTCACACAGCTAGTAAGTGGTAAAGCCAAGCCCTCAGGCTCAAAGTCAGAGTTTCCCTTTCCTGCCAGCCATCTCCAACATTCAGTTGTGGACTGTTTACTAAAACTATACCCACTTATAGTCATAGAAGCAGGTCCTAGGCTCCAGAAAAGAGTTTCGTTTCCAGTGGCTGTTAGCTACTTCCCGACTCATGTTTCCACACTCCTGTCTTCTAAACCTACCTTTTAGCCTCCGGGCTAGTTCCTGGGTGAAGAGAATGTTGGCTAACTTGCTATGACAGTAGGCCAGACCTGCACTGTAGAATTTCTGGCCCTGGAGGTTATGGAAATTAATCCTTCCCAGGTGATGTGCTAAGGAAGACACATTCACTACCCTCGATGGGGCTGACTCCTTCAGCTTCTCCAGCAGCAGATGGGTCAGGAGGAAGTGACCTATAAGAAAAACTAGAATTAACAGAGTTCAGGGCCAATGCAAAGGTGAAGGGAGCAGTGGTGAGCAGGGCTCAGCTACGGGAAGCAGAGAACTCTGGAATAAGACTTTCTGCCTCATGATTCATGATCAACTACAGAACAAGTTCAGTGAGGGTTTAGGGAAATAGGAACAGTTAAAGACATGAAACATCCTTCTATGAGCTAGGTCTGGATTATCTAAATATGAACATGAAATCCTTTCTCATTCCAATTTGGATTAACATCACTCTTTAAGAGCAGGCGGCCTTTGTCTGATGCTGGCCACAGGGATTGCTACAAAGAAAGCGATACAACCCCCAATACAATTAGGCTGTTCAAAAATGCTCCAAAGTAAAGTGAATCTGATCACAGATTAAAATGTGAACAGAGGGCCAGCCGAGTGGCTCAGTTGGTTAAGAGCTGGCTTGGGACGCCAGAGGGCTCCAGTTCGGATCCCACATATGAGGGCCAGTGACACTGCCCTCTACAGCTAAGATGCTGAACAACAACACAACCTGGAGCTGGGCTGCCATGAGTCACCAGCAACAGGTGTAGGCTGCAGCCCCTGCTGCAGTGGGTTGCCATGGGCTACTGTGTGTAGCCAGCAGCCAGCGTGAGTGGCCAGCAGCCGCAGTGAGCGGCCGTCCAGAAGCCGGCAACTGATCTGCCTCACCCGGGAAGAGTGCAATGATGGTGCCAACTTGGGCCAGTGAAGCAACATCCTCCACACTAGACTGAAGAACAAAAGGACAGCAACTTGTCTGTTCCCTTCCCCAATTCCCCAATAAAAATCTTAAAAAAAAAAAGTGAGCAGAACCGCAAGTGGGCCTCAAGTTTATCCCTGAGCTTTCCGGCAGGACCCATGCTATTTATTATTTACTTAAAATCTATTATGGCCCAGAGGTCCAAACACACCCCAAAGAAGGCTCAGTCTGACCCCTAAGTTTTCCAAGAACCTTAGGTTCCCTCTAGCTTTGTGATGAGCCCAGATTTCTTACCCAAGTGGTTGACTCCTATGTGCATCTCAAAGCCGTCTGCTGTCTTAGAGTAGGGACACATCATCACTCCTGCGTTGTTGATCAAAATGTGGAGATGCTTTTCTTCTGCAGGGAAGAGGACATGGAGTGTGAGAGTGGCCAGCCATAGCTGTTACATCTTAGAAATCTGCCTCACACCCAGGCTTTGAACATGGGGATACAGGACTTCAATCTTTCCTCCATTTTCTCTTCATATTCATTCTGTATTGTTTTCATTGTAAGAATTTAGTCGAATCCTGCATACTTTTACTACAGGGCAAAATTCCATTTTACACTACCAAATGGCTTTTCTAACCTTTCCAATTCAGGAGATACTTACTGCTTCTGGGAAGTGTCCCATCCACCTCTTCCAACAGACAGACTTCCCAAGCTGAATGGGAATATTCCAAAGCAAGGAAAAAAAGGATGTTCTATATGCTTCCCCATCACTGGGATTCAGGGACCAAAAGAAATACTGGTTTTACCTCTGTTGCATCTGCCAACTTTCTCTCATGGTTCATTTTCTCATGTGTTTAGTAATTTCTGACTATAAGCTTCTTTCAGTGGGTGCTGTTTTTCTTGGAGACCCTGGGTTATGAGGAGATGAGCCTACAGAGTGCTCTTGGATTTGCTTTTCATGTGATACTACAGGGTTCGATGCTAATTTCTCAGCTCAAGATGCTTGCTCTATTTGGTGGTATGAGTGAATTTCCCCCCATGAATGATGCCAGCTGGAGGTTCTAATTTCTCGCAGATGACTCTATCCACCAAAATCCTGAAGAGATGATAAGCTTCTTTGTCATTTCTCTCAACTGGTGGCCTAGGCTTTTTAAGTGCCACGGACCAGATGGTCTTTTGTGAATCCCAACCTTATATGGAGCCTCAGATAGAGCTCCCCAGCTCTCCAGGGCCTGAGGCCTCACCTCCAGACCCTAAAACCCATGCATTCTGGTATTCCTGTGAGATTTTTGGCTTTAGTTCTTATGCACTGCTTTGACTTTTTTAATTTACTTTTTATTCCTGCCTCTTAAGGATTCCCCTTTGTTACTAATGAGTTCAGTTATGAATCAGAAGTTTTTGGTTGTATTTTATCTAGCATTTCTACATACTAGAGGGAGAGGGACCTTTTCCTTTTAGCTAAGTCTGTCATGTTGATCACAAGACAACAATACGGTCTCAGGTTCTACACTTACCTGCTAAGAAGTCCTTAGCAAAGGCTCGAATAGAGTTAGTATCAGCCAAGTCCAGTTTCCGCACCAGCACCTGTTGGTTCCCTGTCATGGTCTGGATCTCTCTGGCCACCAATTCCCCCTTTTGGACATCCCGGCAAGCTATATATACGCGGGCTCCTGTCAGCCAATGTACAAGAGACAAACTGTCAGCTCTGTTTTTGAGTGGGCATTATACACCTAATATTAATGTGGATTGTTATTTTCTACTGTTTTATTTATTTTACCCCTATTTCACAACAGAGGTTATCTGATGAGAAAATCAGGAAAGAAAAATAAATCAATAATATGCATTAAGTGTCCATTACATGTAGAGCATTGTACTAGGTTCAGACTAGCAAATCAGTGGGGCACTTGGAATGTTCTTGAATTCCAAGACTGAAAGGAAATAAGAATGATCATCACTGTGAGAGATAAAATGGCAGTAGCAGGAGGGAATTACAAGCAGATAAACTTGCCTCTTTGAGCCAGCTCTCTGGCTGTCTCTTTCCCGATGCCTGTGTTGGCACCAGTGACCACAGCTACCTTCCCAGGAAGCTGGATGGTGGATGTACACACCCCACTGGATAGCATTTTCCTACAGACAGAAAAGGAGAGCTCATTAGTGCTTCGTTCTCCTTGTCTCAGCCCGAGGTTCCCGCAACCTCCCTGTCTTTAGGTCCTAAGGATGAGGTTTGCTTTGATTCCTTCTACTGCTGTTCTTTCATAGTTTTAAGGAAGATTGGAGGAAAGAAAACAAATGTTTTCGGTGCTCACTCAAGAACAAAAGTGAGCTTATTATATGGGTGATAATAATTGCTTAGAGCTACTCCCTGCAGTGCAAAGACTGGATAAATATTTGATTAGCTAGGCACCTGGCTTCAGTTTCAGCTCTTACGAGGTCGGACAATTAAGTTCGCGAATTCATCCTAGAAAAAGTGGCACATACTTCATTGCTGAATATCACTATGGTCACCTTCGAAGTACTCCCCTTGGGAAGCTAGGCACTGATGCCAGTGCCTAGTCCACGCTTCAAAGCAATTTTTGGAACTTTTTTTCTGGAATGCTCATCAGAGCTGTCGTCGTATTACCCTTGATATCCTGAATGTTATCAAAATGTCTTCCTTTCAATATTTCCTTTATCTTCAGATAAAGAAAGAAGGCATTTGGGGCCAGATCAGGTGAGTAGGGAGGGTGTTCCAATACAGTTATTTGTTTACTGGCTAAAAGCTCCCTCACAGACAGTGCCGGGTTAGCTGGTGCATTGTCGTGATGCAAGAGCCATGAACTATTGGGGAAAAGTTTAGGTCTAACTTTTTCATGCAGCCTTTTCAGCACTTCCAAATAGTAAACTTGGTTAACTGTTTGTCTAGTTGGTACAAATTCATAATGAATAATCCCTCTGATATCAAAAAATGTTAGCAACATCGTTTCAACAAGTTCACAAACTTGTCAGACCTCATATGTCATCTGTCTGTAACTGGCACTTTATAACATTGATAAACAGGTAATCCAACAAAAATAAAAAGTTAACATATGAAAACTTGTAAACCTGGGGCAAAACAAACAGCAAAACACACACACACACACACACACACACTCACACACACACACACACTCTCTCTCTCTCTCTCTCTCTCTCTCTCTCTCTCTCTCTCTCTCTTAAAATTAAGATACCACAGCACCACTCCGTCTCAAACACATACACCCCGCCCCTCAGGAGGAAGTATGTCTCTTCAGTCACTGGTCCACCGTCACTACGGGTGATTGACTCAGAGCCAATCAGCAGGCTGCCTGTTTCGCAACTCGCTGCTGATTCTCTAGAGGCACTGGGCCAGCCATCGCCCGATGTGTCACCTGGTTAAGAGACCCCTGCTTTCATCCTCTCAGCCCCACCCCGAGACCCACCCAAGGGCATGACTCCTATCCCGATATTCCTGCTCGGAAGGCAGGATAGGGCTCATGATTAAACCCTTTCGTTTCTCTCCTTTACAACATCGCCCAAAAGAAAGAACGAATCTAACAATAACAAGAAAGCAAGCATTGGGCTGCAGATGTCACGATTCCCATTAAGGGGTTAGCTTCTTAAAGCAAAAAGTTGAATCGTTCCATTGTACTTTCAAGACTGGAAGCAAGAAGCTAGATAGGGCTGTTTGAAGGCGTGAGAGCTAAGGGGAAAAAAACAGTGTTGAGAGCCACACTGCATTTTAGGGTCTGAAAGCACCAAAGATGTAAAATTAAGTGTTTGAAGTGGCCTTGCTCGGGGTTCGCTGGAGCCGGAAGCAAGGGATGCTCAGATGAAAAAAATGGGATAGGAGAAACAAAACAGGATGCTCCGGTCTGCAACCCTTTCCCACCGCCTGCGGTTTCCAGTGGTGTCGCCCTCCCCGCATCCAGGGCAACCGGGCCTCGGCCTACTTGGAGGCCCCCACACCCCTAGCCTCCCCAGGGAGTTTTCCTTTTCCTGCTTTTGAAGGATACAGCTTCAGTAAGGGTTAATGGCCACCCCCCGACAACTTCTCAAGAGAAGGCATTACATTTGCACAGACCTGATTCGGGGTGCAGCGATGTACAGGAGAAAGGGAAGAAGGAGGAGCAGGACCCCAATCATCTGGCTGGGCGGCAGCTACGACGGTGCAGCAGCGTAGGGAGTTGCAGCAGCAGAAGGAAAAGCCCTAGAGGTGTTCACTAACTGTTGGCTTCCCTTCCCAGACACGCCCTAGTAAAGTACTACAGCCCAGCCGGGGAGCAAAGCCATCTGGGAAATGTAGTCCAAAGCTTGGCGCCCCCTAACCGGCAGTGAGCGTTCTGTTCGCCTGGAGAAGCTGAACCGTGCACCAGATACACAACAGATCCCAAACCATATAGGGTCTAGGGCCTTTGGGATCATCCAACCGGCTCTCCCACAGTCCTTCTGACCGAAATCTCCCTAGGCCTCTTTCTCCCAGTGTCTAAATCCAGACCCCTTTTTAGTTTTCCCCAATCATGGTTAGGCAGTTACCACATTGTTTCTCCTGGAGATCAAATATCGGCATCTGGGAAATGCTTTAAGGCCGATTTACACAGGAGAGGAGCGGTCGGACTCTTGACAGTTGGTAAGGCTGGGTGAGGGTGAGTGAGAATCCTTCCTCCTTAGGGATTCCTTCATCCAAAGGAGTGGAAGCAATTGGTCCCTGAAGCCACTACCAGGAGAATCACTTTTATTGTGTGAATTATAATGGTAACTATGATAATTTTCCTGTGTTTGACTATTAATTGATAATAGAATACAATTTCCTTGGTGACTTGGGTTAGTTATATTAACTCCCAGGGTCGTAATGAATTTCTCAGATTTAGCAGCACAGTTGTTTTTGTCAATTTATCAAAGTGTTTAATCCTGTCTTGAGTCAAAGCCATGAAAATTCTCTGGGAATAAGCAGGTTCCCTGTTCAGTCATTCCTTTCAGCTCTAACATCTGAGGCCTATCTGGTTTCCAGGGAGTGAAGGTGAGGGATGTTTAACTATTGGGTTGTCAGAAAAGTCACGACACATTTTTGCAACAAAAAACATAGAAAAAATACGTCATGACTTTTCCGACAACCCAATAGTTAACATGAGTATCTGTCTGTGATTCCTGACTACATATACTAATGTACTCTGGTTCTTTCTTCTGGATAATTCATTTCCATTTGATTGAAAGACACATGTTTCAAGATCAAATTTGAACCAGTATTTTATATCAATTGGAGAGGAGAGAATTCCTTCCCCTAATACAAGTTTCTACTTATTTAACATTACGTTATCTAATTTTGTCACATGCTCATTATTGTGTTACCTAATGTTTTGTGCAGGGTTTACACCTTTATTTTTTATTTTTTTTTATTATTATTATTTTTTTAGCTGAGCCATCCTGCTACCTGTTGGCAGCTCAGCGGCTGCTCAGCTTGGGCTGGACTCGAACTGCTGTTGCTCAGAGCTCAAACTCTTGAGCGAGCTCTTAACCAACTGAGCCACTCGGCCGGCCCTCAGGGTTTACACCTTTAATTGAAAGACTTTCACATGTTTTGTTCCTTATTCACTCATTCATTTGACAAATATTTATCGTAGTCCTACAGTGTACTACCCACTGTGCTGAGGTCCAGGCAGAAAATGACCTCTGCCCACTCAGAGCTTATAGCCTGTCAGGGAAAACCTTTAACAAGTGAATAAATCATGATGAAGGTTATGAAGGAAAAAAGAGAAAGCTTTGAGAGCTTATAGCAGGCGGCCCCTCCTGGTCTTGAGATCAGGAAAGGCCTCTTTGAGGAAATAATATTTGAGCTGAGGTCTGAGGGAAGGTCAGAATTAGTGGGCAAGCAACCTGACAGGCAAGAGCTCTGAGCAGAGGGAAGAGCCCACTTGAGGATTCAGAGTCAGATACAGCAGATGGTGCTGGAACAATGGGAAACACTGGTCTAGCTGGGACATGAGCCAGCGAGAGTGCCAGAAACGACAATCGTAGCCAAAGCTTATATAGTGTTTATTATGTGCTGGGCCCTGTCCCTTTATTCCCATAATAATTCTGAGATAGGTACTATAATTTCCTCTATTTTATAGACAAGGAAACTGAGGCAACAGTGAGGTTAAGTTGTTAGTCTAGGTCATAGTAGCAGAGCTGAGATTCATACTTAAGCAGGTAGTATCCAGGGTCTGTGCCCTTAACTATTGAGTAATGTTGCCAAAAGATGAGGCTTGAGAACTTTTCCCCCTACGTTGGCATGTTTGCACATCCACAGTGAATTCAAATACTGTGTGTTCTCTAACTGTTTGGACCCAGTCTAAAACATCTCCAATATCTCTGTCCCCTTACTCTCTGTCTCTTTTTTCTCAGTCCATTTTCAGGCTCATCTTCCTCTTTCCATCCCATAACGTTAGCATTTGTCTAAGCCCTCCTCTCTGTTTTCTGTCGCAGCCTCTCTAAGCAACTCCTCTGTTTGCCCATTTTCAGTTATCAGGTTTAACCAGTGGTTTTTAAACTGGATTCTATGGATGAAATGAGATTGTAGAGAAAGTGGAACGTTCATACACTGCTTTTGAGAATCTAACATGGTGGTATAATCATTTTGGAAAACAGTTTGGTAATTCCTCAAAAATGTAATATATTAAACATACACCTATCATATGATTCCTAGGTAATTTTCCAAGAGAAATGAAAGTTGATTCATACGAAGACTTGTATGTGAATGATCATCACATTGTACTCTTTAAATATCTTAAACAATTTTATTTGTTAATTATAACTCAATAAAGCTAAAAAAAAAAAGAAAGAAAGAGTAAGAAAAATGTCAGAAACTAGGGTTTATAGATAAAAGTGACCAGTGCAAAATGTTCAGTGACAGGGTAACAAAGTACTTTAAGAACAGGGCTGTTTAAAGTTCAGTTTTGTCATTTATGTTGCTAAGTTGTAAACCCTCTCCATCTTCCTAAACCTTCTTGGAAAGTCTACTACATACACAATGTAAGCCCCCAGGAAATTCACAGAAATTTTAGGGAGATTATTGGTCCTCCCAATAGATATAGGAAAGGGGACTAAGTCAACTGTATGTAAAGTCAAAAGATAAGGTGACTTCACTGGCATGAGGTTGCATCTTTATCATTAAAACATATCACAGGGGTTGGCTGGGTGGCTGAGTTGGTTAGAGTGCGAGCTCTGAGCAACAGGGTCGATGGTTAGATTCCCACATGGGCCAGTGAGCTGCGCCCGAGCTGAGCTGCAGCTGAACTGCCAACAGGTGGCAGGATGGCTGAGTTAGTGAGAGCACGTGCTCTTAACAAGGTTGCCAGTTCACCCCCGCAACTAGATTGAAAGAGGCGACTGGACTTGGAGCTGAGCTTGCGCCCTCCACAACTAAGATTGAAGGACAACAACTTGACTTGTAAGCCATAGGTTCTAAATTCACAAGGTACAAAAGGGTACACTCAGTGAAAAGCCTCCTATGCCTGTCTCCCTGTTCTCCTAGAAGCAACCATTGTTATTCCTTTCTTATCTTTTTTGAGATAGTCTATGCATATACAAATATGTCCATCTATTCCCTCCATTTTAAACAAATGCTAGCATATTATAAACACTGTTCTACTCCTTGTGTTTTCACCTAGTATGTCTCAAAGATTCTTCCATATCAATATGTTAAAAAAGTATATTATTTTTCACGGTGGTATAGTACTCATTGTGTGGCTGTACTATTGACAGACATTTAGAAGGTTTCCAAACTTTTGCTATTATACACAATGGTGCAATGACAACCTTATAAATATGTAGAAGTGGAATGTCCAGGTCAACAGGTACGTGTATAGCTTTATGAGATGTTACTACTCTTCTTTCTGGAAGCTGTAACAATCAACTCTCCCACTAGCAAATGTGTCATTATTTCTTTACCCTGTCATCAGCAGACTATATTATAGTCTTTTTGATCTTTGCCAGTCTGATAAGTGGCTCCCAGTGTAATTTTAATTTGTACCTGTCTTATTCTAAGTTAGATCGATGGGCCAATTATTTTTCCTTTTCTGTAAACTACTAGTTTAACTGAGTTATTCTTTTTTCCTTTTTTTTTTTTTTTAGTGATTGTAAGAGTTCTTTATATACCAAATAAATTACACTCTTGTCACAATACATGTTACGGATATACCACCCCCATCCCAGTTTCTCTTTTGTTTTGCCTTGTGTATAGTGGGTTTTGTCATGAAGATTTTATTTGTATTTTCTTTTTTCAATTTCTGGGTTTCCTATCTTATTAGAAAGGCCTTACCACTCTAAAATTATTTTAAAATTTGTCCAATGGGTCTTCTTAATACTTTAATGGTTTCATTTTCCATATTTATATCTTTAATCGCTTTGAAATTCTGGTGTAAAGAGTAAGGTAAGAATCAAGTTTATTTTTTTCCCAACTGGATACCAAGGTATTTATTAAATAATTAATCTACCCCTCCCCCAACACTGATTTGAAATGGTGTTTTTATCATATCTAAATTTCCATAAGCACTTGGGTCTATTTCTTGGTTTTCCATTCTGTTCTATTGATTTGTCTGACTATTCACCTGCCCATACCACACTATTTAAATTATTACAGCTTTGTAATATAGTTTAACATCTGGTAGAACTAATCAATCACTTGATGATAGTCTTTGGGTTATAATATTTAACATGTTTTTAAACAAACTATTCGTGTATTTCCATAATTCTAGATGCCTTATATGCCTTCTAATATCTTCTCCATGTTGCTCCAGAGCACTACATGCTGTGTGTTCCTAGGGTTCTCTGCCTCACAGACAACCTCAGGATAAACTAAGTGTAATCTCCACAAATACAGGGGATCTTGGATTTGATTCAGTAGAAATGGGGAGCCCAGAAGACATTAGTACAAAGGTACCTTCATTTGAGGTTATTAGATGTACTGTCCCTTGTGTGGTATAGCATTGTGTCTGTCCCTCTTTTTGACCTCTGCCCTGATTATATGGGATGGATAGGGAGGACTCTAAGCATAAAACACCAACAGAGCTTGTTTTTACATATAATCTCTGAGGTGTTGCAGACCCAGGGTCACCAAGTGTTCAGGGGAAAGGACTCTGTCCAATCAGTAGAACCGTGTTGGCCCAGTGGACATCAGCTTCTAGGAGGCACGCATTGTGGAGCTCCAGTAACAAGATGTCAGGGGCTTCCAGGACTTCCAGGTCTCTGCAGCTGACGTTA